AAAAACATACAAAATACGCCACTGGCTTTGCTAATAGTGCTAATACATTGGTATTCCTTCAGATACCTTTGTATCGTTGTGTTATAAATGTTATAATACAAAAACTATTTTTAATTTTTAGAAAATAATTCTAAAGAAACAGAATCCTGTATAGAGGTCTCATACAATAATATAGAAAATWGTTTAAATGCGGTATCTAATGAAAACCAAAACATTGTTGGTAAGTATTTTTTTTTAAATTGTATTATGTATAGTTTATATCTGATACATGTTAGGCAATCAATTGTTTAGCTTTAAAATAAAGTTCTTTGATCTTTCTTAAAATTACTTTTTTCGTTGTTTATAGTAATCAATAAAGGAGATAACCAAAATATTGATCTCAGTAACGGTTTCAGGAGTTTAATATCTACTGATCAAAATTGCATATCTTCAGGTATAAATAAAAATATTTTTATTGGTAATAATACCAAGTACTAAGGAGTTATATTAGCTATAATTAAAATGTATATAAACTTACATTAATTATACTAATAATGTTTTCGCAATGGTTTAATTTTTAATTTCTCTTAATATCTCATTAGTGATTTTTATTTTTTAAAACAGTTTATATTTGACTTAAGCAATTAAATGAAGCAATAAAACTAAAATTAAATAAAAACTAATCAGTTTATTTATATAATCCTTAGATGAATACACAGTTGATAACCATGRCATTGGTGTTGGCAATGGTTTAGAAAATTTTACATCTATTGGTGATAAAAACCAAAACTACAGTCTTCCAGGTACAGTTATTTGAACATTTTAGAAAATAAAACATATTTTTGATTTGTATTATATATCTTAAATATCCAAGTGTTTAATGCAAAGTTTATCTAGTTCCAATAAAGAATATAAGTATTTGTAATTTAAAATACTAATTAATGACACCTGTAATTTGACTTAATTTTATTTTGAATTTTTACAAATTGTCAAAGTCTAACAATTTATTACTAAAATTACTTTGGATTAAATAATAGTTTTTTTTTTAATGTACCTATTACTAAACCACAAAATCTTGTGTGTTTTGCTTTAACCTTGAATAATATGTATTTTGATATACATTTTTAATTTTACTGTAAATTTTCATCAACATTATTATAAGTTAAATTAAATTTTAAATTATTCTTGATTTAGAAGAAACAGTTAATAATCTAGCAGATACCATGCAAGAAATTAATATTAATGATATTGACTTTGGGAGTTTTGTGTCAGCTGTTCAAAACAAACAGAAAACTCACATTTCTTCAGGTAGTTCTAATAATTTGAAAAATTGTTGTACAATATTTTTTTTAAATGTTAATATTTTAAACTACAGTTAGCTTAATTATAATTCTAATCATATATTTTTATTAAATATTCCAGCTAACATATTATTATTTTATCAGTCATAAACTTTATTATGTAGGTACCTATATAGGTATCTACAAGAAATAAAGAAATCTACTAAAATGATAAACTTACTTTTAAAAACACCAAAATAATTAAATATGTTAAATAATGAGTAAATGTAAAAAATTTTAAACATGAACACTGGTGTTACCCCTACTGGTGCTATTAATTTAGTTTTAAATGTTCTTAATAATCTACACCAGCATGTACCTAAATATATATTTATTACAGAAGTTGGAACACAGATATTGAGACAACTTCTTACTTTAAACGCCAGGAGTAAAGAACAAGGTGACTACCTTCATACAATCATGATGGTTGTAAACAACATTCAGGAAAAACAAGATATTTTATGCAAACATACTTCATCTATTGTAGTATCATCAACTATTAATAATGATGAGTTTGAAAATGTTTGTATAATAATGCTTCCAATATCAAATGAGTTATTATTAACAAATTTTAAGGACACTTTGATTAACAATAAAGCATTATATGATAAAATGGTAAGTTATTATGTGCAAATCAAAAATTAATTTAAATAATTGTGTATAAAAATGTGTTTATAATTTAGGTGAAAATGTTGGCCATGATTGGTGGTTCTAATTTTAAAGAATCAGTTAGACGAATATTAAGAAAGTTAATAACCAATGATTATGCTAAGTCTTTCA